GTGGCATCCCAGGAAGAGGCCAGCGTCGGGCAGCCGGCCAGCTCTCGGTCCTCCGTCGGGTTCTCCATTGTGCCGCCACGGCCCAGGCCAGCGCCGGAACCTCTCTTCAGCGTTTGAGTTTCCGTCAGTGCAGAGTGGAAGTGAGGAAGCAGAGTGACTTCCGGCTCCCACCGCTTCAAACCCTAAACCTGAGGCTGCTTGCACCAAGGGGAGAGCCAGCTACCGCAGGCACGAGTGCACATGCCATGTGGCTTCAGGGGCAGCGTTCAAAATTTGCATGGGAAAATGAGACCGAGACAAAAACACAGAGAAAACATAATTATTTAACAATAAGGGCGGAGCATGCGCACCGACTGCCTTCTGCCTCCCTCTGACGCCTGCGCAGGCGCGGTGCGCTCCTCGTGGGACTGGGCGGTTTTTTTGGCGTTGGCTGTGAAGAAATAGCAGGTGGCCGAAGCGACGGTTGCTAGGCGGTTAGGAAGGGTATATCCAACGTAGAGAGTTCGTGAATGGGTAGGCATCGTGTCGTTGGGCCACGCGTCCTGCAGGACCAACTTCCGACCTTATTTTCTCCTGAGTGGAGACCAGAGTCGTTCCTGCCTCCAGCTAATGGAAAGTACTGGACCGTACCAGCCTTTGACGTGTCAGCTTGGGTCACGCCAGAGAGGCTCTAGGGGTGCAACCAGGATGGGGTTGAGCTGCACCCTCAGACTGCGGGTCGCCAAGATTGGACGGCTTTGGTGACAGAAAGATAAAGGTTAAGAAAGACATGTATTTAGACAGTGATACGCGATGGGAAAAAGGATTTTCCAGGCGACCTTATCATGGGGAAGTAGTTCTGTCCGTTTTCCTCTTTTCTTTCCCCTTACCCGGTGATAAAACTAGAAATTAGATTCAAAGGTAATTGGGATGTCAGTGTTCTTCAAACTTGGGCTGTCACCCGTGTATTTATAGTATTCTCTATCTTTAAATTTGCTACAGTGTGGGTGCACTTTCCAGGGAAAGAAAGAGAGATGGGGAGTAAGAAAGCGCCTCCCAGAGAGGATGGTCATACTATATTCTCCTCTGCACTCACTCTCCTCTTGGGATTTGGGCACACACGCTCAGGCACCTCGTGTGCTCTTCAAGCCCCAGGTCTAGGACTGTAATGATATAGTCTGCCATAACCACCACACCAACCTGCTGCCTCGATATTCTCTCTAGAAAAAAGAATTTGTTTTTTCTTAACTTTGTCTAAGTCTTTGTATTCTGGGCTCATGATTCAGTACAAAATAATTCTTTTTCTGAAAGGTATACCTAGTGAGAAGAGAATGCCCTCTTGCATTCTTTTTACCTATGGAGTTATGCCAGAAAAATTAGGAATGTATCTTTCTGTAGATCACTAATTATCCTGAATGTATATTAGATGGACTACCAAGATTGGAAAAGAGAAACCCCAAAGATCTGATGCATGTAGAAAACAAAAGTTAAACATCCTGGGGCTGGCAGATGGTGTGGTGGTTAAGGGCACTGGACTCGCACATGACTGACCGCGGTTCAAGTCCCTGACTGGGCAGCTTGCTTTCTCACTTTCCCTTTCTCTCTCTCTCTGTCCTTCTCTGGTCAAATTTAAATAAATAAATGAAGTTAAATAAAATAATTCTTTTTTATTTTTTTGAGAGAGGTTTTCGCTATAGGGCGCATGCGCTTGCCAGACAGAGAGAGACATAGAGACAGAAAGCGAGAAATCACCCCCCAGAGGGG